GTACGACCCTCAAGCACTCTTCGAACTAGTTTGTTGAAGGTGGACGGTGCATTGGAGAGGCCAAAGCTCATGTAGTTCCAATGGTAGAGTCCAAACGGCGTGATGATGGCGGTGAGTGGCTTCGCTCTTTCTGTAAGAGGTATCTGATAATATCCCCGAGACAAATCTAACTTGCTAAAAATTGTTGCTTGTGCTAACTTAACAAACAAATCTTCTGGATTTGGCATGGGTTCACAATCTGGCACTGTTACTTTGTTGAGGTGACGGTAATCTACGCATAAACTTATCTCATCCTTATTTTTTTTTCTTACAACAATAATTGGTGCTGAGTAGGGTGAGTCCGACCTCTCGATGATTCCTTCTTCCAGTAGCTCATGTATTTCCTTTAGCACTGCATCTCTGTGATGTAGTGGGATGTCATATGGCCGCAACTTAATCGGTTTTGTCGACGTTAACTTTATGTCATGGCTAATTGTCGTTTTCTTCCTGGTGTAGGAGTTAATATGTCTTTAAAAGACTCTAACACCTCCAGTATTTTCATTCTAACTTCCTGTGGTGCAGCTCCTATTATGACATCATGCCAGTTTTCTTTTTCTCTTGGAAGTAGCGGTAATTCTGGACCTACGTCATCTCCATCATTTTCTTCACAAAGAAATGCACACGCTATTTGAGGTATGCCACTTGTCACTGCCGATTCCGTTGTACCATTGCCGTTGGCCAGTTCTAATTCGCAAGGTCGTAGGTGAAAATCACTAAGAATATTTGAGTGAAAAATTTTTCTTTTCCCTCTAATTTCAACTTCATAATCCACATTGGATATCCTTTTCGTGACTGCAAAAGGTCCTTGCCATGCTAGTTGCAATTTATTAGTTTTTGAAGGTAGAAGAACCCTAATTTGTTGCCCGGCCTTAAAAAGTCTTAATTTTCGACCTCTGTTGACTCTTTGTCTAACTAGTTCCCCCCTTTCTTCTAGGGCCGCTCTCGCTGCCTGACATGCAGTGACGATTCTGCTTCGGAGATCTATCACTTTCTCGTACGTGGTGCGGCTGTCGAGGTCAATGCTCTGTTTGTACACCAATGTTTTCAGAATGTCTGTAGGGCCCCTAGGCTTTGCTCCATATACTAGCTCAAAGGGTGAAAATCCTGTGGAAGTTTGGGGTATTTCTCGATACGCAAACAAAACGCAAGGAAGAAGTAGATCCCAGTTTTCTGGTTTCTCGGACGACACCTTACTCAGTATACTTTTGATTGTTCCATTCAGTCTTTCACAGACCCCATTGCTCTGAGGGCAATATGGTGAAGTAAATACTTGATGAATTCCTAGTGTGCCAGTTATTTGCTTGGTTAGTTCTGCTACGAACTGGGGTCCTCTGTCTGAGAGAATGGTATCTGGGAGCCCCGTTCTAGCGAACAACATAATTAATGCTGACGTGATATCATCAGCAGTGGTGGACTTCAGAGGAATAGCTTCTGGCCACCTGGTAGCGAGATCAACTACTGTGAGAATGTATCGATGGCCCCTGGCTGACATTGGGTTCATTGGTCCCACTATATCAATGGCTATTTTTTTCAAAGGGTTTCTCAGCTAAATCTGTTCGCTCTAATGGAGCCTGTCTTGGTGGTCGTTTGTCTTTAAGCATACAAACCTGACATGACCTAACATAATTTGTTACATCCTTAGTCATATTGGGCCAGTAGAAGGCTGTCTGGATTCTTTGTTTTGTCTAATATCTAATTTGTTTAATATACCCAAATGACCTGCGACTGACAAGTCATGAGCTTGATGCAAAATTTGGGGTCTATATTTTTGTGGCGCCACAAGCTGTATTAGCTCCCCTTTTGTATCTGTATATTTCCTTACCAACGTGTTGTTTTTTTATCAGAAACGAATGTTCCGTTTTTTTCGACTTCCCCACTGATTTCTCTATGGCAAATTTAAATATTTTCTCTAGTGACGGATCGGACCTCTGCCCTTCTTGAAACTCCTCTGGCGACCACATTTGACTCTCGCTATGAGACTCCCGAATCGCACTGCCATTTTCTTCTAGAGCCGTATCTGTCGCGTTCTCCATTATACCGGGTCCACTAATCAAAGTTTTTGCTTCAGTCTCTTCTCTCTGTCATTGTCTAGCTTGTTGTCTGGTCTCCATTAATAGGACTTCTTCTCTGCACCATTTGTTGATTTAATCTTTTCTTAAATGTGGCATTCGTGAATGTATGTTACCTATGATCAAATCATATGGGCCATCTTTAAAAACTACAGCCATCACCTCTCCCTTCACATACGGCGTATTTACAATCACTTTAGCCACCGGCCAGCTGTACCTTTGTCCTCCAAAGACCTCAACCTGCTTCCAGGTCCCTGTATATTGGTCTTTCTCGACAAATGTATCTCTGACTGCGATTAGTGTTGCTCCCGTATCCCTGATAGTCAAGGCTCTCTTCTCTCCTACAAGCGCAGTGAAGCAAGTAACTTCCCCATCACCCTTGTTAATCACTGCAACATAGGCTCTGTTATTGTAATCTGAAATGTACCCCGCTTGTTGATGCAGGCCTCCTCTTCCTCCCCTATTTCTCTGTCGACTACAGTTACAGTTTCTGGCTATATGTCCGTACGTGCCACATTCAAAACCGCGCCTTGATTCTATAGTTGACAAACTCCTAGGCCTCATGCCATCATTCTGTTGCCTAAGTGTGGGTCGAGAACGCTGCCCCACTTGTATATTCGATACATTTCTAGTGGCAAATACAATGTCAGGTTGCTCAGTCTGGCAAGTTACTCTTTTGTCCGGATGAGCAGCCATATACCTTTGACACAGTTCTGTCAAACTTTTGAGATCTCGGGGTTGTCTTTCTTGTATAAATCCAAATAGTTGTCCGTCACACAAAGTTAGTACTCTGTCTATTAAGAGGAACTCTTTGAGCTTACTAAAAGTTTTGTCTAGACCGGTCGCGTCAAACCATTTATCGAATGTCGTTGTCAGATCATTAACAAAAACTTTAAAATCCTGTCCGTCTTTGGGTTTCGTAGCATAGTATCTACGTCTGTAGCCGTCCTCTGTAAAGTCGTAGAATTCCAGTAACGTCTTTTTTAATGTCTTATAATCTTTCATGCCTGATTCAGTCAGGGTCTGACATGCATCTAGCCCTTTACCCCCTATTAATGTCAGTAGTTGCGGTCCCCAAAGTTCCTGTCGGGTATCTGTGGATATCGCTATGGTCTCAAATATACGTATATAAGAGTCTAGGTTATCCATTTGTTCGTCAAATTTGGGAATTTTTTCAAATAGTCGGCTACTACGTCCTAGCATGTCCGTCTTATTTCTTTCTTCTCCTGGCATGTCCGTCTTATTTCTTTCTTCTCCTGGCATGTCTGTATTACTTCCCTCTTTACTTACTTTTTTCTCCCTAGTTCCTTGTTGGCCTTTTAGTTTTTCTAAATTCAGTTTATGTTCATTTTCCAATTTAATTTTTTCTAACTGCTGCTTCCTATCCGCCTCTGCTTCTCTTTCTTTTCTTTCCGCCTCTGCTTCTCTTTCTTTTCTATCCGCCTCTGCTTCTCTTTCTTTTCTATCCGCCTCTGCTTCTCTTTCTTTTCTTTCCGCCTCTGCTTCTCTTTCTTTTCTATCCGCCTCTGCTTCTCTTTCTTTTCTTTCCGCCTCTGCTTCTCTTTCTTTTCTATCCGCCTCTGCTTCTCTTTCTTTTCTTTCCGCCTCTGCTTGCTTATCTTTCCTATCTGCCTCACGTTTTGCTCTTTCACTTTCCTGGTCCAGACAATTCTGCACCCACTGGTCAAGCTCTGTCCCCGATAACCCTCTTCTCTCTCACAACGCATAAAATCTTTCTACTTTCTCAACTTCACTAATAGTTTTATCCATGTCAACACCGCCACACACCTCAAAGCTAAAGTAAAAATGATTGAACTAGTAACCTGGCAATGGAAATACTTACCCACTACAAGGACTACAGCAATATGTCTTTTACACTATTCTACAGCTAATTGGGAGTTAATTTTAGTTTTGTAGATGAAATAAGGAACGATAAAATAGGTACTGTCAAACTTTCATCCCTAGAGACACAGGGCAAAAATAAACAGATTTTATATTAGCGATCTAGAAGATTAGAGTAACCAGAATGTATGCACAACCCTGTCACATCTAATATATAAGTATTTATGATCAAAAGAGAGTCTTGCGCTTGATACGACAATGCGCCCTTTACCCTAGGACACTCTCTACTGACAATAAACACGCACTAGAACAAGCTATGCAATACAATAATCAACATCTACACATCATACATTACAAACTATTAGCTGAATGTTCAACTCAATAGTCAAAAACCCCCAAATATTAACGTTTAATTTTGACAACGAGGAAAGGTAAGCTACTTAGCTGCTAGAATGTTTTGATGTTGCTGTCTCTCCTCCTTTGAACACACACACACACAGTTGTCAGTGTGTCCGAAGAACTCACACTGTTCTAAATGGTTGCAGCTTGAATCTGTCTACGTTTCACCCACACGGAAATGGAAATATTGTCTTGAATGTCAAACACTGCTTTAGTTAAAGTGTTTTCTAGAGTGCATTGATGACGTCACAATTCAGTCCAATGTTAAACGATGTACGATGTTTTAAAAGTGCAATCTTAAGAGGTAGACTAATGCTATTCGCTGCTATATATCCGTAGAACTATACAGAACTCCTGCCACAAGATAGGCCTATTCGTTAGTCAGATACGTATGGATACGAGATACAGTGTATTCAAAGTACCGGTATTTCACACGCAGGTATCAAGACTTGCTAGACTGGGTGTGACAACTAGCGGTGTAATAAAGCCAGATATTAATTCCTGACTTGCCGAACAAGGCGACCATTATACACTATAAATAACAACAGTGGACACTGTAGGGCTGGATCGAACTGCTGCTCCACCAAACATGTGACGACTTTCTAATTTTAATGAACCACAAACATTGAAGTAACAAACTCGACTAGCCTTCTTTTCTATTAGTACAGTACTTTATTTCCTCTCTAGTTTCTACCTCACAACCTACACTAACAGGCCTAGCCGCTCTACTGCGCTTCTGCATTCCTGACCTCTCGCTACCCCGCTAGGCTGACCCATTCAACCGCTGGACAGGTACAGAACAGGGGCGTAACTTAAGGGTGACACTCATGCTCCACGACATATACACACACACACCAAGATCCTTTCACAACAGACAGTACATTGTCAATTAAGATCATGTCTAAGATTTGAATTGGATCTTTTATGTCACATTTAGCTAGTTCTAACCATTTAAGCATATTTGCCTTTATGTCAAAGATAATCCTGTTGAAGTCTCCATCCTTGTTTAGTTTAATTTTTTTTAAAGAGATTTCTGTAATAGTCTTCACTTTTTCCAAAATGTTCCAAAAGTCTAGTTTTAACAGCAAGGTAGTTTTTTTTTTGTTCAGTTGTGAGTGTGCTTATTATATTTAGGGGTTCTCCAGATAAATTAGCTAAAAGATGTTTTGCCATATCCTCATTGTTTAAATTGTAGGTGGATGAAATATGTTCAAAATGGATTAGGTAATTTTCTAATGTTTTCTCCTTGATGTTAAGTTTTTGAAATTTGGAAATAAATGGTTTGTTAGTAGTTTGCTGGGTAATAATGTTGGGGTTGATTTTTAGCTGCTTCCAATTTGGCTAACTCTACTTTGTCCTGACTTTCTTTTTGTTTTGTCTCTAGTTCTTTTAGTTCTTTCTGATGAGCTCTTTCCGCAGCTCTTTCTTCCCTATCTTTATCCTTTATTTCTTTCTTTTCTTCCCTTTCCTCCCTTGCTTTCTTTTCTACTCTATCTTTTTCCTCCCTTTCTTTCTTTTCAGCCTTTTCTAATTCTTTTTTAATAAACTCCTTTTTCTCGTCCCCTTCTAGTTCCATCACCTTCACAAATTCTAGAATTTTATCATATGATGCCATGGTTATTGTCAATGTATTAATTTATGTCTAATGAGTAGTTAAAGAAGTAAATCAATCAAAGTATATAGTTGCGAAAAAAATGAAATATGTTACAGATATGTTACACTAGAAGAATGTGTGTGAATTATCTAAAGTGTATTTTTACAAAGTAAATACAAGTTCACTGATGTTAATTAATAGTCATATGTTCAAATACTTGTACATGTATCAAATCAATATTATTCAAAATGCAATAGCTCAAGTATTTCTTAATGTAGCATTATTTTGAGCTTAAATATTACTCAATGTTAAGTATGTATGGCTATTGTTTATGCCAGTTATAATAGAAAAAAAATTGAAATTAATAAGAAGTAAAAAATATATGTACAATGTATATAAAAAAACAAACACAGAAACAATATGAGTGACGACACAGTCTGCTATAAAAAGAAATCAATAAAAAGGAGAAACGAGACAGGAGAGTTACAAATATGTAAATACAAGACTTTACACAAACAACAATCTAAATACAAACAGAATACTCTGACAAAATACACAAACAAGACTAAAACAGCTAATAAATAATTCCTGATATGATCTAGTACCTCCCTACCAACAAGGATGACCTCAAACGCGTTGGGTCTTATTGAAGGTAAAAGAACGGATAGGATATTCCCTAATAGATCCCATTATTATGATAAGTTATGAAATAGTCCCTCTCCAGCCACCCTTGAAAGTAACAAATATATAGAAAGTGGAGGAAAGTCAATGTCAATATCAATACTCAATATAAAACTTCAATCTTAAATAGTTAACTTACATCTTATTTCCAACGTAGCGTAGTAGTGTAGATAATCCAAAAGGTAACTTATCCAATAAGTATAATCCAAATAATCCAATAAGATAATCCAAAAAGTAAGTGTAGTAATGCAGGCACGTGTTATTTCTTCGGCGTACAACGATAACTAGGAGAGCGCCAATAGGTTCAAGTTAGTCCTACTTCAACGTCAAAGATAAATAATCCAAAAGTACATGCACATTCATAAAAATAATCCAACAGTACTTAAGTAGAAGACTTCAGCTTAGATAATCCAAATACGTAAAGTCGCTGAAAAAATAGAAAGACCATAAGTGAACAGAGGTCTAAATGGAGGACCTTCTGTATAGCAATGTAAGGTGAAACCTCGACAATGCAGGAGCGTGTCAAGAGTTAGTGACGAGCGCTCACGTAGAGACGACGTATCAGCTGTCTTCAAGCGACGCCTTGAATTTTTCACCCACACAAGTAAATCAGCTGTCTTCGGTTTCTGCAGATGGTGCTGTCACGCCGTGCTGAATCTCAAGTTGTCGACAATAGTGTAGAAATAAGCATTGACCAGGTATACAGGAAGTAGCTGCAAGTCCAAATTAGTCATTGACATGACGAATTAGGTTAAACAAATACGGTTCTAGTAGAAATGTCAATGTGTTTCTTTGAATGGTATGCCCTTTGATATAGAGTTGATTCCATCTAATGCTATCTCCACATCTCTAGGAGGCGGGGTCTATGTGGATGTAAACGACGTTAAAGCACAAAGTTTGATTGAGATTCTTCCTAGAAGAGATGACTGACTTGGAGAACACAATAACTTCGGTGTCACAATTGTGTGTAGAGGTCAACCAGGGAACAAAAAAAATTGCAGGCTCTGGCTAGTTCAATAATGATCTACTTGAATACTTGTGACTGGTTTCGCTTGAGTGATATTTGCGTTTTTGGTCCGTGCGTGTCTAGCACACAACATACTGTTCACAGTGTTGGAATCTTGTCTAGACAGAGGCTTGGCAAATGTGCTCTGTATCGTACTGCGTCCTTAATTGATCTTGTGAGCAATCTGGATTCAGTCCATGCTTAATTTAACGCCATCTTGAGGAAAAAAATGTTCCGGTCTAAGGTATATTCTTGCGCCAAACGAGAAGTGTAGGTTCACTGTCTTGAAGACACCTTTACTGGCCACCATATGTCACAGCCTAGTTCTTGTTGTAGGCGTGATAACGTGAGTGTCGTGGTGTAGATACCTCTTGTAGATACTTTAATATACTTTTTCTTCTTAATTAAATACTTTCACTCGCGCACTAGATTTGCTAGTGCGTGAGAACACTAACATACTAAACTCTCTGATTACAACCTTTAGAATAAGTAATAGACTCACTGGTAGCAGACATGGGTTTTATTACATATAATAATGAATCATAAAAGATATTGGCAAGTCCAGCCATCAAGAAATATTCACAAAAACATAGTACGTTATAATTCAATGAAATACTTCAGATATCACATATACTCCCAAAAATCAACCTTAATATGTATACATTACTACACTGGACAAAATATCCACAATATACCTCTCTCTACGAGAGTCCAAGATCAACTGAGGTGTCCACCTCGTGGTCAGTCCCCGACCAGGAAAAATCTCGTGCTAACGTGCACGGAATGGTTCAGTGATTACTAGTCACCAAATATTACAGGGGTTCTAAAACTATACATATGTCATACATGACAGCAAGTGGTCGATTTAGATTTTCTTTTCGCCGTCTGAGTTTGTCCTCGGAAGCGGATTTTCTTTTGGTCTCAAATGTGTATCCCGTGGCCTTCATGAGTGACCTCCAGCGGTTACAAAGTTAGGAACAGTTAAAGGCTCATACATTGTTTCGAACAAAATTTTGCAGACATTTTCTTAAGTCTTAGACCTACGAATAAAATGCTGTAACACCTATCTTATAAGATGCAGGCAGGTAATTGTAGTGTTCTTGTAAACATTACATTAAGCTTTACATAATAAGATAATTTGAGTTCCTACTTAATATTTTCTAAATTTGTGAAAGTATCGAACTAGATTATTATTATTAATTAGTACCTATTAATATCTAAATCTAGATCTACATCTGGCCTTTATTTACTTTTATTTAGATTGCTGTCAAGTGTATAATGTATATGTCAAAACTGCGCGATATAAATGAAGTATGTTCTATTTTTAAACTTACAACTAAAGGCAGGTTCGTATCAAATTTTTTTTTTAAACAACATTTGAATAAGTATTTTATTCCATAAGTTAATTAATATATTGAATATATATTTTAAATGTCATTGATACTTTTTCCATTTTGATCGCAGAGGTTGTTTTTTTTTTACCACTACGCGAATCTTTGAAAGATTGAGGAAGATAGATAGATAGATAGATAGATAGATAGATAGATTAGATAGATTAGATAGATTAGATTAGATAGATTAGATAGATATGCTTATAAAATTGAAGATAATTATAGAAATAAACACTACATTACCAGTATGAAAACTTATCTTATTTAAATCAGTGTCTACAGACTGTGAAATGATTTTGTTTCTCTTTTTGTGAATATATATATATATATATATATAGGGCCTAAAAATAAATGCGCACGAATCATTGCCAGCTTAGAAACTGAAATCCTTGTTTTTTTTTTCCAGGGAATCTTTGCATTTGTAATAAAACCCGACAAAGAGTTATTGAGTCTAACACTAACGCCTCAAAAATTAGTCTCAGTATTGTTCCACTTTTCAGCTTTTCAATTGAAATATATGAAAGATTCATGGAGTGTTACCTACATACATCAACTTTAATAAAGTAATGCAAATAATCTTGAATGTACCTGGATAGAGATTATGAGATTTCATTACAAAATGAAAAATATTTTTCAAAAAATTCGAATTGTAATGTTGTTTTTTCTTTTGTGTTTTTTTTTTTTTTATACAATCTCTTTTATCCTTAGATGTAATTTTTTAACAAATTGAGAACATTTCTCAAAGGACGTTTTCTTAGAAAACTTTATTACATTTTTCTACACACACACACACACACATACGCACACACACACACACATGTATACAATATTATTTAGTCATATTCACGAAGTGTCGTGTCATTTAACAAGCACGTAGTTTGTTTACTTCAAAACTTAATTTTCAAAACCTGAAGGACGAGTAACCAGTGGCGTCACTAGGAGGGTTGCAGGGGGTGCGGGCCGCACCGGGTGACACCCGCCAGGGGGTAACACCCAAGTGGAAAAAAATGCAACTTTTGAAAATAATACTTACTACCTCGAATATCTTTGAGAGTTTAGTATCAACATGTCCCAAACCTTCTTTATTTCATTATATTTGACTTGTAGTCTTCTTATTATTGGAGAAATAATGCATTGTAAACGCCAGGAGAAAAAAAAGATTCCAAGCTCAGAAATGTAAAAAATGCTTGGCCACGGGACTTCGC